GACGGTCAATCCCACTATTCGTTGTTAAAAGAGTTGGTGGTGGGTGGTGATGACTAGCTGCCTCTCCTCTAGTCTTACACTACTAAATTAGGGACGGCTAGCGCAAATAGCCCTCGTGTAGCTTTGCGCGAAATTAGAAACAAATAATATGCAGAGACACGTGGCTGAAGGTTTATTCTAAAGTGGAGGAGACACAGGGGTAAGATCAAGTTTGTTGTAGACATTAGTGTTGTTAGAACTTTGCTTGATCATTTGGTGTATCAAGCACTCTGGCAAATCCACTATCTTTACCCAGTTATTACTCATTTCATTTAGTCTAATGACGATATACTCGAAGTAATTTCAGCATAAACAATTCCAATGAAAACCACTGTCTTTAGTTATTTATTACCTATTTCATTCTGGCAAATGAAGATAGGCTGGAAAGCTAATCAGAGAGCACGACGTTCCAGAATCATTAGAAGATCATAATATGTAGAGAAAACCGATATCCATACAGTATAACCATAGATAACACATGGCTATACAAAGGATTTATAAATACAGAGTAAAAGGGGAGAATCCAGTCCCCATTGGGACTCCAAGAGGCAATGCATGAGGTTTATCCTCTTGACAACTTTTGAACAGATAGCTGTAAGGTTAGCTTTCCAGGTGAGATGATTATCAAAGATAATGCCCAGATATTTGACAGAATAAGAAAGATAAATGGGAAAATTATCAAGATGTACGTTGGAGAGGAGAACACGGCTGAAACCTTTCATGGCTTGGACCAAACGCTATAATTATATTTTGTAAAACGCCAGATTTTACATCAAAGGAGAAAATGATCAAGAGCTTGTTGAAGAACCCTATTCAAGAGTGATCGTAGTAGTAGCAAGTAGAGATGTGTCATCAACATACTGAAAGAGATGGACAAAATAAGTAGGTTGCGGCACCCCGCAAAATAGAGTACATAAAAATAAAGGTGATAACAAAAAACATTGTGGAACATCTGCAGACACGTGGAAGGATCAATATATAGCGTTCTCTAGTGATATGACAGCATAACGTTTATGAAGAAAATAATTTACAAGTTGAACATAAATAATAGGTAGTTTCATGGAGCTAAGCTTATAGATTAACCCACGATGTCAAATGGTATGAGATGCTTTCTCAAAATAAAAAAAAAGCAGAAGATAACATGGGTAATTAATTTTAAAATGATTGATGATCGTGTAAGACAACAGAAGAAGTTGGAATTGAGTTGAAAGTCGACCCCTTAATCCAGCCTTATAGTTCGGCAATAAGTTGTTGTCAGAAATAAAACAGTGAAGTTGCTGAGAGAGATTAGAATACGCTCAAAACTTCTGCTAAAAACATTGATGTGACTAAGAAGAATAAAAGACCACTTTTAAATGGGGTTTATTTGGATTAAAATATTAATATGATCATAGAGAGTTTTCATGATTGAAAGTCAAATGCAGTGCGTAAAATGACAATAAATAACGTGGCTAGTAGTGAATAGAATTTGCAATGAGCAAAGACGATAGTACATAATATTGTCTAATCAAGGTACTGTATTTTGTTTATTTTGCAAAACACAAGAAATATCGGTTGTAGTAATGAGTATTGTTAGTAAACTACCATCCAAATCATGGGAAAAACTAGAAATTAATTCTGGAAGGTGGATGCTGATAAGACGTGAAATATCCATAGTTATTTCAGTGTCCAAATAATAAAAATCAGGTGATTGAAAAACTGTTTCAAAATAATCAGCAAAGATACTGACCTTCTCCAAGAAATTAGGATTTCTAGATATGCTCCAAACTGTTATGTCGTCAGCATATTGAGAGGGGTATGTATGAGTAAATTCGTGAAACGGGATGTCGTTGACAAATAAGATGTATAGAAGAGACGAAAGGACGGATCCTTGCGGCACTCCTGCCGTGATATTGAATGATTTGGATAGCGTGTCGTTTACTTTAACTTTAGCTGATCTATCGGTTAAAAAGTTGGATATCCGTCTAATTATAGTTTCATTAATATTTAACTTTTTAAATATATATTTTATGGCAGTGTCAAATGGTTTTTAACATATAAAAATAGACCTATTGATTTTTATTAATTTATCTGTATATTGATTCAGTTAATCGTGTGAGGTGGTCTATTGTTTGTCTGTTTTTCCTTGATACGTTTTGAATGTCCGATAATAAATTATTTGATTCACAGAAATATAGGAGTCTGTTCGATATAATTTTCTTCATTAGCTTGCCAAGGCAGCAAACTAATGGGGCGGAATTTATCTGGGTTTGATCTACTGGTGGTCAGTGTATGTAAATATAATATACCCAATCCAATCATGATATGTATTTCGGTTTGATAAACCAGGGGTGTTCAGAAATTAAAGTTATTTCTCTTCGTCCCTTTCTTGGTTGTTTTTGAAAATATTTAGCTGATAAGTTAATGATTTTCATGTAAATTTGGTTGTACATAGATGATTTGTCGAATTTCAAGCACGAGGGAAAGCCGTGAAGAAGACAGGAAGAGAGATGCTTTCTTGATGGTGAATGTTAAAGTGGAGAAGAGTTTCCGGCCTGACCTGTACAATTAACGAATCACGAGCAGAGGCATCCGACTGACGACGCCCGCCCCGGTGGGCAAAACGCACCCCGTCACAGAAATGACTCAATACCAGAACCATAGCTTATTACTTTTTGATAACAGTTACACAGAACAACTGACTATCTTTAAATGCAATTAATTACATAGAATATATAATACTTTTTAAGTACAATTAACAGTTAAAAAATTTTCCAATGACTAACATAACTCTGACCAATTTTGAAATGTTTAACAACTTATACATAACAATATTACATTTAGATGCAAAACATATACTATGATGCGGAGAAACTTAAAGTCCCGTCGGTAAACTGAAAAAGGAAGAAGGGAAGATAGTGATTAACGTGAGTGTTTCGTGATGTATTTGAAGGGGGAGATAAATTTGCTTTTAGATTTATCGTAGTACGTGTTAACGAGGGTTGTAAAGCGTGTTTGGGTTGGCTTGAAAGGCTGCACAATGACTGGCCTTGTGTAAAGATGTAAGAGGTGCAACGCCATCTATAAGAATAGGATAGGAAGGAGAGCACCTTTGTCCCGTGAGTAGCTTAAAGTGGTTCCAGAATTGAGAGAAAGAGGATGAATGACTGAGA